TGAAGAATGTACCCATCAGCTACTGAGAAATGGTGCATTCCTGGACCCTCGGTATAAATCTTGAGTTATCCAGGTGCCAAAATGCTGTCAGAACTGACAGATCTTAGAAAATACACCTACAGGCAGAACATTATCCATTATACTAGCACTGAGCAGTGGGCAGTAAGGAAAAATCAGCAGAGAATGTGTCTTTATCAAGTTTAATTGGCTTTTCCCGTTGATAAAAATCAGTGTACCCGGCAAGGAAGAGAACCTATCTAGCAGTTTGATCTTTCCATCCCAGAGCTGAAGGGTGCAGTCCATCTCCACTGACGTGTGATGTGGACTTGTCTCAGCACGGTTCCTAGCAGCGCGGTGGAGTCTACAACCCACAGAGAAGGCTGCCAGTCTGTCCTCGGTGAGTGACTATGTTTAAACAAGTGTGAAGAATGAATTACTCTGGATAAGCTGGATTTCATCTGTGCTCTAGTTGCTTGAAATTTACTTCAGAGAGAACCAAACTTAGTTAAACTTTTCTTCGGGTCCTGGCTTGTAAGCACTCCTGGATTACAACTGGCTGGGCTGTGAAATCAAGGATCTGGGCAATAGATATGCTGGTATGAACAGGAGACAGCGGGCAAAGGAAGCAGCATCTTTGCAAGAGCTACAGGAAATGGCACATGTAGAGGTCTGAGGAAGAGAACAAGCTTCTTTTGGGTCCTTTGGCACTGCAGGTTTATATGTAGCTTTACATCAAAGACAAAGGAGACAGCAACTGTGTGGGTTTCTCCTGGGAAGGCTATTCTGCAGCCTTGTTGCAGCATCCTGCATTTACTGAATTATGTAAAATGTTTCAGTTTTTCCTTGGTGCTGCTTACGTCTATTGCTATTAGGCTCTTTTAGTTTTATTAGAGTAAATAATATAGTAAAGATGATTGCAAATCTATTACTGTACTAGGTTTTTTTTTCTAGTTGATTAATGAGAACAACTCCTCTCTTTATTTATGATCAATTTGGCAATGTGTAGCACTTCTCTTGCTAAATTCCGCAGGGTTTCTGAGCGTAGCTTTAAGTTTCTATTCTGCTAAATCAAACTCCTCTACCTTATTTCCATAAATAATGGATAACAGAAGTATGTCCACTCAGAAAAGATAGTTTAGTAAGGGAACTTTATTGCAAAATTTCCTTTCCACAGTCCCTGGTGGTCATAAAAGCCAGCCTGTATGACCATCACAGGGTTGCAATCATACAAATATCAGTTTAACCCTTGTATTTAAAACTTTTAAAAACAAAATTTGTAAATATTTGTTGTTCAGACAAATGAAGGAACAGTCCTGTGTCCAAAGCCTATTGAATAGGGAACTGTACTGCCATTGGCACAGATCACTGTGATCTTTTAGAGCATGTCTGCTGTGCCGTGGCAGCACAAGTCAGTATTCTGAAATGCTTATCACCTAATCGATTGGGCAGTGTTGAGAAGTGAGGGTGCAGCAGCGGGGTAGGCTGTGTGCAGCTACGTCCCTGGACTCTTTGCCAGCAGAGCTCCGGTACGCCTCTGTGCACGCTCCATCACGAGTGCAGGCTCTGCCCTTGCCAGGGTTGACGCAGTGCCCGGCACAGCAGGTTCCCTGTCAGGGTAAACTCTAGAGGCTGCCGCTGTACAAGCTATAAGGATATGATGAACCTTATGGAAAATAAGAGTTGATTGTATGGTTTTTAATTTTTTCTTTCTGCTTATCATATGGCTGGGAGAAACATAGTAACTTCTTGTGTTCAGAAGGTTTCTTTAGAAACTTGAAGCAAGTGGGAGGGAGGGATAACAAAGTCCATTCTGTTCCTCTAATTCAATCTGCCTATTTACAAGCCCAACCCGTCAAGTATGTTGTCACTGTTCTTTGCAGCAAGAGGAAGACTGAGGCTTTAAAAGGCTTTTGGAGAATATATACAAATCCACGTGAACAGCCTAAACCATCATAATTCACATGGTTTCCATGGATGCTGGCCATACTGCAGTCAGGGCAAATCTGTTGTGTTGATCCAAATGGCACAGCAGTTTTACCAGGATGCAGTATTCTTGACCAATGGCCCTAAACTCTGGTGTGGTGTTGCTGTCCGTTGTTAAATAGCTGTCTTGTGCCTGTGTGAAAGAAGAGATTCCTGTGTGTGTGGCCCAAAGAGACGGTAAAGAATTGTAAGATTTATTACACATTATAAAATAATAATTCCAGATGAAATAAAACTGCAGAAAGAGAGATTTTGACATCTTGTTTTGAGATGGCAAAATATTTCTTAGGTGGCCTAGAGTTATTAAAGGTGTTGCTATCCTTGATGCTTAATTTGCCAAGTCTGCAGTGTAAATGTGAATGGACAGTGCCTGGCTCTGGATCTGCGTCAATCATTCCCTAAATGCCTGATGGTACCCGAGTGACCAGCTCCTCAGCTGCCTCATGGTTAAAAGCAAGGCTGCATGATTTTTCTATTTTTCTAAACCATTTGCTCTCTTTAATTGAGGACTGTGAGCCATTGTGTGCGTAGTGCCACAGGATCCTTGTCACGTAAGGGCCTTGATAAATATGTATTGTATTGTCAAGTGTTTGTAGCTACTCTGCAGGTAGCGGTGGAGAAGCAAGCTGCATACAGTTAAGAGCCGTCATGTCTCCAGGGTCAATAAAAACAAGATGGCACAGGGGATTGTGGGAAGAGGAGCCAGGATAGCTGCCTTCAGCATCACCTGCTAATAAACCAGCTATTTATAGATCAGCTGAGGCTTTGTCAACTAGATGTTAAATTAATATTTACATACTGGCTTCATTGTCTTTCACTGAAAATCTCATTTGCATTAGTGCTTGGACAGAAGTGCGGCTTCGTGTGCTCCAGGTACATGAGTGCATTTGATCAGAGCCCGTGGCTTGCAGCGTGTGTGTGAAACCATTCCTGATACATTCTTGCCTTGCAAATCCTCTCCTCCCCGTAGTAGCATTTTCCCATCTTTCTGTGCCTCTCATTTCTTGCAGGAAAGCTCACCTTTGTTCCCAAATGTCTGCAACTCATCATGAGGCTGATCTCGCTAGAGAGAGAGATGAGCAGCATTTCTGCATAGCAATTCCTAGTTAATCTCTGCCTCTCAGAGAGAGACTTGAATTGTTGATGGCTTGTGGGTAATTTAATAACTAGCAGACAAATAGGATGTCTAGATTGTAGTAACTTAGCCCAGATGCAAAATCCCCCATCCCTATTTACATCTGTTTGAATGAATTTTGTTATAAAGGTTTGCTTTTTTATGTTTTAGCACCAGTGAAACAGCAGCGAGAAGAGGCACTGCTCAGTGAAGCTGTGTTGATCACAGCAGGCTCCACACCTGGCTAAGCAGTTTCAATTCCCTGTGCGTTCGTGTGTGTGTGTCTGTGTGCCTTTCAAAAGGGAAGAGTACTCTACTGACTAGACGTGTGTGTGTCTCTCTCGTAGTCCTTGGACGACCTTGAACAGTCATTTAACTTGTGTTTGCCCATCTCTACCTGGGCAGATATTACTTCTGTAGTTTGGAGTGTTGAGGTTGAATGGATGTCTTGGAAATGTTGTGGATGGAAAGTGTTACTGAAACGTAAGATATTCATACTGTCTCTTCAAACAGCTGATCGGAGTTCAGGTTCACCTGCCTGTCCTGCTGTTTCTTGCTTCAAAGCCATTTGGACACTTGGATTGTGTGGGAAGTCAGAAGGCAGTAATAGCGGGGCTGTGATGCAGACAGGCGTCACCGCCTTCGCTCAGCTTCCACTTCTTAGCACTTGCAAGGCTGTTGATAAGGTCCTGTTATGCTGGTATTGTGTTATTCTTATATCTGTCTTCGGCCTGCAAAAGGTCTAACAGCATCTGTTTCTCTGACACCTCTGCAGGCTCTCCGGGCACCTCATTACTCTTTTCGGGAAGAGAACGTTGCAATCTGGTTACTCTGTCCGCAGAGAGCAGAGCTCATCTTCTCATGCCAGCCTGGTTACCATAAAGTTAGAGCTCAGAGAGCGGGTTGCAGTTTATCTCTCCAGGTGCATGAGGCACATATCACAACGATAATACAGTATGTGCTGAAACCATTCACCTTTTATTTATTCTTTTTAAGATAGCAAAGCCTCAATTTCCTCCCCTTCAAAATGTCTCTTCTCTTGGCTCATGAGAGGGAGTGGGACAGGCCAGCTGCGGTCACGGGTCTGGGAAACCTGGAAGTCAGTTCCTTGGCACTCCAAGACCAGTGACTTGGCCTGTGCTCATTTCACCACTGCCTCTTCCATTTTAACTTTAATTCTTGCTGAAGGCAGCACCTGATTCTTACATTTTCAGATCTACCAGGTTTTTCTGCCTTCTGCTGATATTCAGGGGAGATGGGGATGTGGTTTTCTGCAAAATGTCAAGGTCTCTTCCTGGAGAGCTGACAGCATAGGTGTTTTATATGTACACGGGCTATCGGGATGAGACATTCTTACTCGGAAACATTGGCTGAGACAGACAGACATTCCTCCTGCCATGGAGAGACAAGCAGGCAGTCACTGTTGCCAAGCCTTGAAGTATTTGGCATGTTTTCTATTGCCCTAGTTTTGTGGAGTTGTTCCTGAAGTTTTACAAGTACATGAGAATCTTAGTTCTGTTTTTTTTATTAAAAAAAAGAAAAAGGAAGGAATAAATAAAATAATCTAGCCCTCCTGCCTAGACAGCAGTGGTATGAGAACGTGACACAGGTGCTTAAAACCAGAAGGCAAGTGAAATAACCCCAGTGCATTTCTAAACAGTTTTACAAGTCAACCTTGTGGTTTTGGGGGAGTTTCTGACTTCTTTCTTGCATTTTGAATATGTGAAGGGTGTACAGCACGGCTCGTGCTTGAGCGAGGGAATATTTGCAGCTCTGTAAGAGTTCACGCATCTGCAGAGTCCCCTGCAAGCAATAACAAGCCGACCAAAACAATCAGTCTCCCCAAATTAGAAGAGCCCTGCATTTTTTAAATCTCGTTTGCATTCTAATTTGTGCTTTTTCGGTTTTTCCACTTTTCAAGCCTTCCTTGCAAACAGGAGGATCTCGGGCTCTTTAGTTTTAAGCGGAAGCCAAGATTTCATGTAAGAACATGATTCTGGGAAGTGGAGCTTTGACATTTTCATAGCTATGTCATGTATCATCAGACTTCCATATGAGCTGGCAACACCGTTTACGCAGAGATGAACGTAATTATTCATGGAGGGGCCCTGTTCAGCTTCGTACCCCCTGGTTGATCTACAGAGAAGGCCAGCTGGCTCAGCAGGCCTGTACCTCTGTCCTTCCATAGACTCGCAGGAGCACACTGGGCTTGCAGGCACCTGCCTGCAGGCTTTCATGTTGGTTCTGTAGGCAGGCGCGGAGGCACGTGCTCCTGAAATCACCGATGAATTCGTAGGCCCACGCTCACACCTCTGCGTTGCCTGAGTGGAGGGACACATGCGGTCAGACTCCCACAACAGAAAGGTTTCCAATAAAGCTGAAACACAGAGGCATTGTTTGTCCAACCGCTGGCAAATGCACAGAGCCATTGTGTGGGTCCTGAAAGCCTTGGCGCTTTATTCTCTGCAGACTGAATGGCAGCCGCGGGTAATAATAACACAAGATTAAAAAAGCCAACATTATAGGGGCATTTACAACCCGCTGAGAGAGTGAAATCTCAGCAAGGCTGAGCTGTGTCTCTAGTGATCCTACGTTTTTACTGCTTGATAAGGAAATGATGGGCAGCTCTGGAGAAATGGCCACCGCAGAGCATGTGAAAGGGGAGCGGGTTGTCTGTTTGAACGCTGCAGTAAGTAGAGTGGGACAAATGGAAAAGCTCTCTGCAAACCTAGTGACTGGCCTGTCCCCCCCGTGCTGGGTGGCCTGGGGATGTGTATGTGTGCTTGCATGCCTGTGTTTCCTTTCCAGGCTGGTTGGAAAGCTGAGGCTGGCTGGCGTCAGTGGGGCCGGGCTCGGCTTGCGTAATTCAGAGCCTTGTGCTTGGAGGCCTTTGGTCAGCATCATCCAGGGGTGGTGCTTTGGTAGCCGTCAGTAGATCCACTCAGGACCATTCATGTGTGAGAATGTAGCTGTTGACCGATCGTGGATAAGAGATGGTAGGATTAGCCTTCCACCTGCAGGAGCAGCCAGTTTTTCTGTGAACTTAAATTTTGGGAGGCAATAAATGTTGAGCTTTCTGAATGGAAGTCTCAGCTTTAAGTCACAGTAACAACAACTACCTTATGCAATTGAAGCTCAGATAACATACCATCTGAGATGTGGAATTTCATTATTTTCAAAACAAACAAAGAAACCCCACAAAAAAAATTAAAGAGACAGTTCCTTATCTTAAAAGTCAGGTCTTTAATTCTGTGCTGGTTCTAACAATTCTTTAACATAAATGTCTTATAAAGCTCTTTGTGTACATACAGCTATCTAAATGGCTTTAAAAGACCCAGCTTTCCTCTGCACGCACATGGCAGTTGTATTTGGTAGACCGGAGGCAGAGTATCAGTCAGTAGCAACATTCTCTCTGGATATGCCTGGGCTGCAGAATAATGACATATCAAAGCCATCCCTAACCTTGCTAGCTTGGGTATTACCAGCAGGCTAACCCTGGCAGTGCTGAGCCGCTGGACTATGTACCCACCTGTTCAGACAGGTTTTGCAGCTCTCTGCTACTCAGCAGGTTTCTGAGGCAGCGTCTTACAGATGTGACCTTGGTCTATGGTATTAATGATGCAATGAGTGAAATGTTGGGAGGTATTTTAAAATAATAAAACATGTTTTAATAAGAATGCATGGTACCTGACTAGGGCAGGTGTGCTTTAATGACTGTACTTTTCCTTTCTAAAAACATTCTCATCCATTCCAGTGTCTTGCTTCGCTTGTGCCAGGCAGTGTGGCACGGAAATTGCTGAGCCCTGGGTGCTGTTTCTTGTGTGGGACATTATGGGGATTCAGAAATCCAGACTGCTTCACAGATTCATTTACTTGGATTAATGAATCTGTCCCTGCCTCTGTTTCCCCAAGAGTAATTTGAAGTTACTTACGTCACAGGGATTTATGAGCTTCTTTCTATATTGGCCATTTTGCAGAGAGTGAAATTCAGCTCGGAGGGCTCTGCAGAAGGACGAAGTGTTTGAGTTTGTTCTGTTCTAATCCTGGTTACAGAAAATTGGCAAGTTCCTGCTTAAAGTCTCTTTAAACACAAAATATAAATACCCTTTGATTGCATTTTTTTTGTTCTTCTCTTTCTTCCTCCCCTTTTCTCTCTCTCTCTCTTTTTCCTTCCTTTATGTGTTTTGGTTTTCTTTTAAATGTTACCTGTCTTAAACTGCAGACTGTTCAGGCTGGGACCTGAGAGCTCCTCTGCGCTGGCACAGACCTGCGGAAGAAGGCTGTGGGCTCACTTTGTTTCCGCAGGTTGCAAATGTGAAATTAAATGTATGTTAGTGGTAAGGTCTTTGTGGGAAGAGGGTGTAAGAGGTGTTGAGTGACACTAGAAAAGAATGGTCTAGGAGGGGGGAAGAGAGGATGTAGCTAAAACTAAATATGATGCTTGTTTTTTGCCAGAACCTTTGCAGCAGAAGCATGGACGTATTCCCAGTCGACAACTCCCTCATCTCTCTTTCCCCCTCCGTTTTCTCTCTCCTCCTCTGGGGCTACTGTTTTAGGATGAGTTGGTTCCAAATAGACAACACTTTTCTAGCAGATAAACGGACACCTAAGCAGCTGCACTGGTATCTATCATGAACAGACATACTGCACACTGAGGGAAATTACAAGATGGGACCAGCATCATTTGTCATATTTAGAAAAAAGAAAGCTCCCCCTCCACTTGAGCAGCGTCCACAAGACAAGCGAACAGCACACTTATAAACTGTCGCTTTCTTTTCCAGTCTCTTAATTCGTTTTCAGATGTTCCCATTAAACATTCCACCTTTAGGTCCTCTTTCTAAAGGATGTGTTTTAGACAGATGGAAGCAGGTCTCTGTCCTGACACAGATGCAGGTCTATACATTTGCAGTGGAGGAGATGGAAGGTAATTATTTAGGAGGCTTTTGTGGCTTATTCCAGCATCTGGTATTCTACCGGTATGCCCTCTGAAGAGGGAAAGGGACGGGAAGGAGCTAGAGAAATGCGGAGCTTTTTTTTCACTTGGTAAAGGTTTTTAATCTTGAAAGAAGGATTTGGAATTTACGCAGGAGGAGACATTGATTGAGAAATAAATATGCATCTCCTGGTGTTCACCATTCTCCCTTTGTTTGCTCAGATCCATACTTCAGGTTGTAGGGCATCTTACCTGCTGTTCTCTTAATTGCATTGGTTATGTTGGGCGCCGGTGGGCAGTTGCTCAGAACAAATCTGTCTTGCTGAGATACTGACTACGATGGCTTCTGCGTTCAGGGCTGAGCATGCAGCTTCACGCAGGTTGCTGCCTGGGTGTGCCTGTGGTTGGGCATCCGCATGTAATCGCATGACTGAACATCTCCATGGCCTCCCAATCAGTCCGCAGCCTCTCTGTTCCAGTTTGCGTGTCGTGAAGGCGGGAACACCCAGCGCTCTCCTGCCCGGACTGCGGATTCCTGACCCAGTGCTCATGCAGCAGCGGGGCTTCCGTGCTCCTCGGCTCCTTGATGTTGTGAAAGGGGAGTGGCAGAATGAAATGTTTAGGGTTTCTTGGGTGACTTCTAAAACCTCTGTCTAAGAGGTGTGGTTGAGTCATTTGACTGTCTCAGTTCAGGTCATTAACATTTCAAAATGCCTGTTATTTCTCTGTCTGGTTGCCTGAACTTGGTAGAGGATTGTCTAATTGGGGCTTGGTGTGGGCCAACCAACCAAGCTTCTCTTCCTTGTGATCTAATCAGATCTTGCAGCTCCTGGGACCAGATATTTCAAGATACTTAAAGATTGGCAAGAGTTAGACATGTAATTAATTCTTTAAAATCTGATACTCAAATACCATAAACGCTCAGTCAGCAATAAGCTTCTGGTGCAGAAGAGTTGCAGTGCTCAGTCAAAGGGGCTGATTCTGCTCAAAGATATTTCAATTTTTGGTTTTGTACCAGTGCCATGGAGGTAATCTCCCAATACAATTTTTTTTTTTTTTTAATTTACCTGTAGGGTCTTTACTGTGACCCTAGTCTTTTGGAGATGTTTCACAAAACCAGGTAGAAGTTATACCCCACACCTGTCTGCAAACAGACATGAGAATTCCCAGTCCTCTCTTGGCTCTACCATTGCTGATTTTTGCCTTTTCTGCCAGAAGAAAAGGAGAGCGACATCTACACCCATACGGGTGAGATGAATACGGCTATCACACAAATAAAATTACTGGCTGCCGAATAGCAACAGCTTAATGAAAATGTGAACTGTTAAACAAATAAAGCCAGTCAAGCTCGTAATACTTCTGTGTGGAATTTCACTGTATCACTGAGCAGAAATAGAATAGGCATAGAAAAAGGATATCTGGAGAAGTCGTCTCTGCCTGCCTCTGAGCTTGGTATATGAAGCTGGACTAGACAAGGAGTGAGCCATACCTTAAATGTGGACGTGCTACCCCGACCTGGAGAGGAAATCTCTTTATCCAGTGCAGGAGCCTGCTAAAGCAAGGCAGAAAGGGACAAGATGAAACACTAGATTTTCTCTGAAGCCTAAGTGCAAATTGTACAGAGGGACGGATCCCTTGAGAACTGTGTGATTTTTCTGCATTTCTTTAGCATCTTCTGCTGGTGAATAATTATCATACCTCTGTGTGGTTGGTAAGTAGCATTACTCTTACATACAGAAAGAGAAACTGAGATGGGGATTTATCTACAGCTGCTGGGTGAAGTTGGGAGGAGTCCAACAACAGAGCCTAGGACTCCTGCTCACACCCTCCAGGCAGTGCTTACCTTCCTGTAGCGCATGGGAAAACTGCAGGGTTTAGTAACACTCGCAAATGGCAGGTGAAATCCCCAGGATGAGAATTTAACAACCACTATTGAGGTCCCATCTCAAAGGCACAGTGCCGTAGCTGAGGGGTTGCGACGCGTTTTCAGCAGCTCTTTGCACTCTACCCAAGGACCGGACTTTCCTGTGTTTCCATCTTCATGAAAATTCCCAGAGTTAAAGACATGCTCGTTAGAACCAGTGCAGGTTAATAATCTGTTCCAGGATGAGATCTGGAAAGGCAAAATGCAGTATGTAAAGTTGGGATGAGCTTGTGAAGAAGCCGTGCAGCCAAGGAGCTGCTGTATCTGCCTCCAAACAAAATGACATCCTCTCTCCCTGGTTTCTCCCATCCATCTATGTTTGGCTGTGAACAGTCAGAGGCAAGGGGTGGGATGGGGTGATCCCTAGGAGTTCAGAGGACAACTGGGGTTGCTTTTTCAATCTCCTATCTCTCTTTTCCTCCACCCCCACCCTGATGGCATTTCTTCACAAGAAAGTATGTCTCAGCTAGGCTTGGTCTCAGACTTGTGTGGAGTCACTGGTGTATTGAAGGTGTATTGTGGCTGGGTCATGCCAAGCTTTAATGCACTGTGGAATTAGAAACGTTGTAGGAGTTTATATTCTATTCTTTATTTTTCTGGGTGACCTTGTGAAATTTCCTTGCACCAGATCTGTATCTTGCTGTCCTGCTGCCTTTTCTTGTGTATGTTACTGACATCCAGTGAAGTGTAATTTGTTTGAGAAGTGGCACTTATAACAAGGATCCTGCTAGTAATCCCTGTATTGAATCCCTATATACACAATGTTCCAGGAATAATTAAAGTCTCAAACTTCAATCTTGAGGGATGCGCAGGGGAAACCTATCCTGAAATGAGGCTTGGCATATCTGACTTTTCTACTTCCAGTGCTTTTTAACAGTAGGATTTGCTATTTTTGTTCCAGGACTGAAGTAGATTTAAGTGGAAGTCTGACATCCTGAATTTACACATCCTCACAACAGTGTTCATAAGTCAGTATTCTTACTGTATCCTTTCTCTACCTCTTCTCTCTATTAATTTTCTTCAATAGTCTGCAGGGATCATTTGCCAGCCTGATTCAAATTCCTGCAC